CGGATACGGATCCAGAACTGAATTCTTTAAAACAAAATGGCCGCCAGTCGGCCATTTCAAGCCCGATCCAAAAAAAAAAAAGACGTGCATCAAGGTCATATTATGTTTAATGTATGTACCAAATTTGAACGAAATCCGTCCATGCATAACTGAGATCCGGGTCCGGAATGGTGAAAATGTGTGATTTTGATGCATTTTCGGCCTTAAAATGGCCGCTATTCGGCTATCGTTAATCGGATCATGAAAAAAATGCATGTGCATATGTCCCATATAATGTGTGATGTATGAGTGAAGTTTAAACTTAATCGGTCCATGCATGTTCGAGATACAGGTGATCACGGACGCACGCACGGACGCACACAGGGCAAAACACAAGTCCCCGTTTTCGGACTACGTCCGAACGGGGACTAATAATGTGTTAGGCCCAAATGTATGAAATTCTAGTTATAGCAACTAAAAGCCCTCACTCACCCTGATCTGGTAACTTTATTCAACTCTAGTAACAGTTTCATGTATATTTTATGGATGGATTGATTTTAATTTTTACACTTGCCCTCATTAAAAATTCATTCAGAATACACATAAAACACATAGCACTGATAATGGATTAACAAGAGTGACCCACAATGCATTAGTCTTAGATGCAACTGCCTAATATGTTGCTGCTTACCAAGGTGGAACTTGATACATACAAACAGCATAGATTCACCCAAGCTATCCCACATTTATCTCATTTGTGTCGCCCATTCTTGTCTTGTCGAAATGGAATTTATTGAATTCACTTCTTGAGTTTAGTTGCTGATATTGAATATTTTTTATCTCACTTGTAAGTGCACCACAATAAAAACTGACAATTGATTTTCTTTTTCAGTTGATCAATCCTTAAAAACAATATGTTGGTGATATTTACGTTTTAGTGGAAAATGTAGATCAGTGGTAGCTGAAATATGCAATGCAGTATCTGCAGGACCCTAAAGTGAACATTTGGCAACACAAATATGATTCATACATGATGCAATTAAACCATAATGAAATCAATGTGTGTTGCAATATAGTGACTGGTTGTATAAATAGTGTACCGTACATATAGAGCATCTATCACAACATTGCAAGGCCATTTGTTCTTGAGGGGAGGTTAAAGCAGCTAGTTACAGTACATGTACTAGTAAAATATCAGCAGTCATGATGAGTAAAATTTGAATGGATCAAAGTAACTATCCTAATACTCACCGATGTTGTGTCTGATGTAGATTGGGAGGGTACAGGGGCACCATTGTCTACATCTACCTTGCGCTTCATGTGGGTTGTACTTCGCAGATGAACAGTTAATGACTAATAAATAAAACCAGACTTGTTAGTTCAGTTGGAATGGGGGTGTGTTGACATAAATGGAAGATGTCACACTGCACCTAGTTAACATGATTATGGAAGCAGCTTAGAAAAAGAATAGGGTAGCCTGGCGAGTGACTGTTAATGGCATCTAACTGAATTATGGAGGCTGCCTGGTAAGTGACTATGACATTAAGCTGAAGTATGGAGGCTGCCTGGTAATTAAGTGACTACCGGTATGACATTTAGCTGAAGTATGGAGACTGCCTGGTAAGTGACTAGGACATTTAGCTTAAGTATGGAGGCTGCCTGGTTCATCTAGCTGAAGTTAATGTTTTTTTGTTTTTTTGTTTTTTTATTATTTTTTTTTCCTTTTTGTTTTATATTTGAGTTAATTTTAATAATTTTAATGTTTAATAATTTAATTTTAGTATTTTTTTTTCTTTAGTTTTGTCTTCAACTTTTACAATTGTAGTTTTTTAGTGACCTTACTGCTGTACTTTCTGAAGTCAGTGTTGTATCAATAAATGTATAATACACAAGTACAAGTAGATCAACAGTGCAACTGTCCGATATGCACTACTAATACCATATTTGTGTTCTTAGAAGCATATACACTTATGTACATAGCAGGTGTGTTTCTATAGGAAAAAATAAGGCATATTTTATTGATTTAGTATACAACACATGCTATTTTGGGTTGATATGATCTTTTAATAGAGCAAATATGCTATAGTTATATGTTAATACTTACGTCCCAATCATCAAAATACAGAGCACAGACTACACAATACCATTTCTTATCTTCACCTTGCTTAATAATAGCACTCTCTTCACGGGCCTGAAATAAGAAGGTTAACTTATAGAATGAGTATAACACAGAACACAATAACAATCCATGATTTTTACATCTGTATATTTGTCACATTTACCTGGTAAAGAACGACATAAATCCTGAAATCAAATGCATCATGTAAATTTCATGCTCCTCAGTATAGAACTAAATTATTCATGTTGTCTAGTTTTTAGGACAAATTATATCTAAATCTGAAAACTATGCGGAATTAAACAACTTATGATTAGTTTATACAAGTCTGATTAATTTTTAATGCCGACATACACTGTAGATCACTACAAATGTTTGTCATGCTGTCCATGTAGGCTATGTCATGTCATATACAGGGGTTTTGTTAAGAGCTGGCCGCCGGCCATATGGCCTACTATAAGCCCAAATTGGCAGTCTACTCTCTGCCCTCTCGACCGCCTACGCACTGCTGAGAGCCTTTTTATTTTTTTTTTGGCCTATTGTTACAGAATGATGGCCTGCTATCAAATGCATTTGTGAAACCCCTGCATATAGTGTTTCTAGCTGTAATGTAGATGGGTAAATGCTTGATATAAATGTTGATCGTGTGTGGCAGTAATTCCTGGGGAATTCACCAAGATACATGCTAGAGGGTACAAGAAATGGGTCCCATAATACTAGAAAGCCGGCAAAATTAATAGGAAAAAAATTCATCATCAGGCGATGTGTTAACAAATCAAAGCACAAAATAGAGATTAAAAGTTCAACTACATTTGTAGGTAACTTCTGGGACAATTGGTCTAAGTTATTTAGTGCAAATTCTGACCAGATCAAAACTTGTGTTTGCCACTACGAGAGTGCAATGGGTTGTTGGATAATCACCAATTATTAACAAAAATCTTGCATGCCTGGTGCGAAAAGAAAAGTCTTTCAATAAACTTCTGGGTAAAGGATTAATACTAGAATCCTGGCAAAGTTGTAACAATGTAAATATTAAAAAATTAGGAGTCTCTTAATGTTACATTCCAGCTACATTATAAAGGCATTACATTAAAGCCATAGGAATACATGATTCTAAAAGTGTTTGCCTTTACTGAATCAGTTTTAGAATTATATGAATTTATATTGTGGTTACCACCAAGTTTCTATACTGTTTTGAAATCTCAAAGTCTACTATCGATGTCAATTTATTTTTACTTCCACTCAGAGTCTTTCAACAGATTACAGACAAATATAAATATAAAAGGTGGAGCATACTTCATTAATTTATCAAATGAATCAAACTTGCATTATATATCACACCAAATAAATAATTAACAAGCCATGCACACAGTCCCCATTAGTTATCAAATTAAGATAAATAGTTTTGTTTATAGTAATATAGCTGGAATATAACCATGTCAGGAATATGATGTTTTTAATATTAAAATGATTGACATTTGTATCTGATCGTCAAACAAGTACTTGTCCATATTGAGAGATATTGCTCTGGAACAGCATTCAAAATCAGCCATTTTGAATACATGTATATATATATATAACATGATGTATAACGAATATATAAAATTTGAATATAATCAGTCAAAGCATTTTAGAAGCCCAATCATTAATACAAAATGGCCGCCAGTCAGCCATTTTTAATCCAATCTGAAAAATAAAATGACGTGCATCAGGAACATGTAATGTCTAATGTGTGTTATAAGTTTGAACAAAATCCATTCATAAATGCAAGAAATGCTTGATATTTGATGATTTTTTAGCACAAAAATGACAACCATTCGGCCATTTTGAATAGGGTCGTCAAACCAATATATTGTATATCTGTGACATGATGTATAATGAATATTAAAAATTTGAACATAATCAGTCAAAAAAAGTCAGACATATGGGTCTGGAAACCCATTCATCAAAACAAAATGGCCGCCAGTCAGCCATTTTTAATCCAATCTGAAAAATAAAATGACGTGCATCAGGAACCCGTAATGTCTAATGTATGTACCAAGTTTGAACGAAATCCATCCATAAATGCCAGAAATGCTTGATATTTGATGATTTTTTAGCACAAAAATGACAACCATTCGGCCATTTTGAATAGGGTCTTCAAACCAATATATCAGCCTATCTAAGACATGATGTATAATGAATATTTAAAATATGAACATAATCAGTCAAAACAAGTCGGAGATATGGGTCTAGAAGCCCATTCATTAAAACAAAATGTTTGAATGTTATCTGAGAAACAAAATTATTTGCATCAAGGTCCCATAATGTCTAATGTATATATCAAGTTTGAACAAAATCCATCTGTAAACAGCCGAGAAATGCTTGATTTTTATGATTTTTTAGTACAAAAATGGCCGCCATTCGGCCAACTTGAATCAGATCGTAAAACAAAATGATGTGCATCAAGGTCCTATAATGTCCAACATATATACAAGGTTTGAACAAAATCCATCTGTAAACAGCCGGGAAACGCTTTGATTTTGATGATTTTTAGCATAAAAATGGCCGCCATTTGGCCATCTTGAATCAGATCATGAAACAAATTGACGTGCATATGTATGATATCATGTATGATGTATGTGTGAAGTTTGATTTTGATTGGTCCAGGCATTTCTAAGATACAGGTCTGGTTGCACGCACAGACGCACGCACTGCGTCCGAACGGGGACTAATAAAGCGTTTATTTTTATTATTTCGTTTTAATAATTATGAACTCCCCTTTCATAGAATTGGATTATTCCAGCCTAAGCAACACTTGCTTACAATCCGATATCGATTTGCAAGTTGTGCATCTTCATCGCCGCATACCAATCATGAAAACATGTCAGTAAATTGTCTGTGGTAGTACTTACGTTGTGTGACTGTTTTCTGAACAGGTGTTCCTCATGTTCTACATGTTCTTTTAAAGTCTGAATGAAGAAAAAATATTATCGAATATTTCAGTTCATAAAACAAATTAATTTCTGAGCTGATTAAACTTAATACCCTGGAAGTTCCTCGTGCATTGCATTGGTTATACCGGCAAATTTACTGCTATACGATTGGTCAGATTATTTTCAACTGACTTACAAAAATTATAGCATAGTTAAACTCCGGTGACCTTGCCCTTTGTTATATAATAATATCGGTTTGTTTCAAAATGAATATGCATTAAATGTTTTTTGGTAATTTTATTATTTTTTTTTATTTGTACAGGAATACACTGTATTATACATCTGTCTCCGTAATGCCATAAATTTTGCGGTATTGCATTGGATATTTGCATTCTACCATATTTATTAAATGCAAATTCCAAATATGGAATGATTATGCACGTAAGCATCATCTAAAAATAAAAACAAACATGGCAGCCCCCAAGTTTGACCGGACCCCACCCAAAGAAGTTTGCTCAGTCTGTTCTAAACTTTTTGGATTTCGACACTCCCATGGTGTATCCTTAGGAGGGGGGTGTATAACAATAAGGTTATGACGAGCATACCGCAAAATATGCACAAAGACAGTACAGCAGGATTATCGACCAACACGCAGGTCGATACGACCGCATACTGTCTGAGTGCATACTTTGCGATATCCTTGTAATAAGCTCAATACATACATATATATCACTGAAATCCAGTTTACATGGTTTACAGAACCATTTGCTTGTACCATGTCTGAGTATGACTTTTTCATTGCCCAAATCCTGAAATAAGTAATATTGAGTTATTTAATTAATACATATTTTGACTATGAATATATATATACCGGTGCAAAAGAGTCAACATTGAACAAATCTCTGTTCAACTTGTTTCAATGATATAATTACTTGAAGTGAGATACAGTGCATTCATTTGGTAATTAGGTCTAATCTTTAAAATATTATACGTAAATAGATTTTCTAATCACAAATCCAATTTTAATTGAGAATTAAAAGTGCGGATTTAGACAAAATATATTGATTACAGTACAGCCTGGACATAATACTAGCTTTTTGCTGTCATAAAGCGAGCTCAGTTTGTTTTTAAAACTATCAGACATCTAAATTAAATGTGGCTAAATATGTCTCATTTTTAGTTGAGAGTTGTGCTTGGACTGTACTGTACTGTAGCACATTAATTTCAAATTATTGTAAATTTTTTACTGCAAGCAGTGAAACATTCACCAGTGTGAAAATATTCAGAAAGAAAAACAATGACTTCAGGGAAATATAATTATTCAGTGTGGATGTCTTAAAATGCTAAAATCGCAAACATTTTTTAGTGCAGAAATAATTTTGTTTTATGTGGAGTATCGTAGTAATGCAGTTATTTTCCATTTTTAGTGTTACCTCTTTTTGCCTTCATTGGCCATGTAGATATTTATTAGAGACAGCTGCTGCTTTTTCATTTTGCCGCATACATCCATTGAGCTGCCAATCGTTATGTTATGACAAGTTGACAGCTACAGTCTATGTACATACATTAATAATATATACATTCCAGCATCGCTGTTCAGTACCAATCAAACAAGGAATAATTTCACAAAACAAATGATATCTATTACAAGAAAACTGTGAAAAATATTTTCCCCAAAATATTCTCCTTCAAAAGAATCTCTAAAAATTTTTGCAAAATCAATCTTTTGAGTCAAAAACATTCGTCCAAAAATATCATTAGAAACCCTTTGTAAGATTCTGAAAAAGAGAACAATTTAAAAAAAAAAATGTACCAAAATTTATAAATGCCTCCTCATGAAAACGAAAAAAACAACAACCACAGAATAGAAATAAAAAAGGCTTTCGTGTAAAAAAAAAAGAATTTCCCAAAATTCAGTAATACTCAAAAAGATAAAGGAAATATTTTTCAATTTAGAAAAAAAACAACCTGCAAGTTAACAGATTAAACATGTCCTACCGAATACCGTCTTTTTCTCCATTGTGAGTCATCAGTTACCCATGACTGAGAGTAAACATCTTGACTGTATGGCACCTCAGATGGATACATGCTATCTTCTTGAAAACTACCAGAATGATCATAGGAATAGTCATCCCCAGAGAAATACATTTCGTCTTCAGCTCCTGAATAATGCATGCCACCTTGATTAAAAGCTGGTCCACCTCCATACATTTCCAGACCTCGACCTCGAGGAGAATACATTCCACCTCTACCAACATTAGCATCATGATCAAAAGCATGCCTTACTCTACCAAAACCAACAGCTCGATCAAATCCTTGTTGACCTCGACCTCTTGGAGGATGCATGCCACGTCCACGTCCGCCTCCATGTCCACCAAACCTAGTAGCATGATCAAAGGTTTGTCTCCCCCGAAATTGATGTCTACCAAAAGCAGCTGCACGATCAAATTCTTGTTGACTTCCGGATGGATACGTACCATTTCTACCTCGAGGAGAATACATGCCACCTCTGCCATAATTTGACATATTGCTTGAATATTCATCTCCCTGTTGCATATCCTGCCAGGGCTCTATAGACTGATCTCCAAATGCTGATGATGGACCTCTTGCGAATCTATCACTTCTACCTTCATGACCTGAAAGCTGATATGCATAGTAATCATAAAGGCTTCTCAAATGGCATTCTTGCCTTTGATTCATATTTCCAGCTCTCAGCTGTCGTTCAATGTTTCTCATTAGTAGTGGCAGCTGATCGCTCGGAACCTTCTGACCTGGACGAAACTGCAGGCGTGGTGGAAATTGCTGGCCTTGTCGCATGTGATGTGGGCCTCTGAAGTCCCCAAACTGGTCCATCCTACCATCTCTGGCTGCAGGACCCATCTGATGAGGTGAACGTGAACGTGAAAGAGACGGACCTCTAGATGAATAAGATCCACTTAACTCAGAGTAATCATCTTCTCTTTGCTCGTTCAACTGATCCTTCATCTGTTGCATGGTCATTTGCAACACATTCTGAATCTGATCTTCAGACGGTCCAACATCATGCTCATTATTCTTTCTCAACACATGTAACACATGATTTCCTAACTCTGCTGCCATAGCTTTGGTCGAAACATTGTCAGCGTCTTGAGCTAACCGCTGTCGACGTAACCTATTTTGTAATTGTTGCTCTGAAAAACCGAAAAAAATAATCTTAATAAAAAAGCTAAATTTCATTTTGCAATAGAGAAAGCAAAAAGGTCACCAAAAATCTACACAAAAAAAGTATCCCTGCAATTGGACCAATAGTTTTCAAGAAGAAAATGAAAATATAGCTTCTAACCAAAAAAGAAAATCACTCAATGTACCTATATACGGGATATAAAATGTATCATTCTTTAAAAAGATATAGTAGTTTTGCCACAAAATCATATTCACATAAAAAATTCATTTTTTGTTATCAAAAATAGACAATATACACAAGAAAATACACAAGAAAAAGTTACCATGATGGAACAGAAAATTGACAAAGGTAGCAGATTGTCATCAGGTACTGAAAGCCGTAAATCAGTGAATGGTTTACACCTTGGTTTAACAGAGCATGTAATTAATATTGCCTGTGTGTATCTTTGGCGAGTGACATGTTAATCTTGGGCACAATTATTTAAATACAAGTGCATATGTTAAGCCATTATATTGCAACCAAAACCCATGTTATGCTCAACACTTTATTACTCTATTTTTATTTACTGCCCTTGTTGCCAAAAGTACAGCAGCTGCAGTTTCACTAAACCTTACTACTGCCTAGACCATTTCCACTCTGCCATTTTTACCTGCGTCATTTTTACAGTGCATTGGTAAAATTGTTGTCACTGCTGTCTTTTCCTCATGATTATTTTTTGGGTCTTTGGTGCAAATTTCATGTGCAAGTTCGAACCAATCTCTGATTTATATCGTTTCAGTGTTGAGTCACAACAACAATTACTTGCATGAATATACATATATGACAATAACTTTAATTAATGAGGACTGAAAGTTTCTTTAAAAAAATATTGCCATGAAGGGTAATATTACAGCCAATTTTGAAAAGCATTAATGGTCATAACTGCAAATTTGCGTTCGCTGATGCTCGCAGTCGTCTTGCCTAAGTAATACTAGAGATACATTACTTGGGGTTTACAACTACGGTGACATGATACCAAGATCCCAATTCAATCTCGCTCTCGCATAAGCGTTCCAACTCAGAAAAATTGGAATGCGCAAGCTCGAGGTAACTAGGATACTGGGATGTCCAGGTGGGTCAGAATAGCTGATCACGATATGACGGATTACGATAACTATGAATGTGGTAACGGAATAAATGTTTTATTGTTTTATTACAAACCGCCTATGTCATGTCAGAAGGTAGTAGCATCATTCTCGCTATCTACGAGATGAGACTTGAATGGGATCTTGGGATGATGTCACCATACAGTACTATGCGTGTTGCAAACCCCAAGTAACGTACCTCTGGTAATACTAATATAAATTAAAATATGGCTATGGTTTATTGAAACACTTAAAATTCCTCAGAAGGAATTAAAATGGTTACACTAACTGCTAAAACACATATATAAAACATACAAATTTTACAAGAGTTACTGTCTAAAGAAAAGTTCTGTGAAAGCATGATTTTTCTGTTTGTCTTGTAATATCACAGGGAACCCAGGAACTATAATCAACTGTAATACGCAGTCTCTATGAGGGGGGGGGGGGGTTATCGGCTGGTATCTAGTGTAAGAAATAGACAAGGGATGAAGGCTCCAGCATTTGTCAACAATTAATCGCACGACTGGTTACAAACGAGTTGAGCAAGGCTAACCGAGTCGTGACCTCGGTGTGGTTCGTAACCAGTCTTGTGATTGGTAGTTGACAAATGC